TAATAATAATAATAATAATAATAATAATAATAATAATAATAATAATAATAATATAAACGCTGTTCGTCGAAGTTGTGGCTTTTAAAAACTGTAAAAAGCACTTGGGGTCTCTCGTGGCCTAGAGGTTAAAGTGTTGGCCTCTCATTTAAAGCTCCCAGGTTCGAATCCGGGTAGCGACCGGAAAATTGTCTTCTCTAAAATTGTCTCCTTTTACCTCCTTTCCTGCCCTCCTGCAATGTTCTGTCGTCTGCTTTCGTCTCCTCTTTCTCCTCGGCTGGGCTCCTGGCTCTTTCTGCTGCCTTTCTTTCTACTGCTACTCCTTGTCTCCTTCTTACTGCTGTCTATCAGCACCGGATCTTCTGGTAGGAAAGATCTACACCTAGCCTTCTCGGACAAGGGCGAAAAATCTCGGAGGGCCCGTGTGCAAGTTGCGCACGTTAAAGATCCCTTAGTGGTTTAAAATCGATAAGAGAGTAGGCTTCGGCCGCGACTTGGGTAAAATTCAAAATTTCTTACCTACTGAAAATGTTTAATGTGTCCTGCACGCTCATAAGACCTTATACAGTTGCGAGCGCCATAAAACACTTACCAAAACAAACAAACAGCACTTCTTCTAGATCTATGCTTTTTATATTTTTGCCTCTCGAGCCCTCCGCTGCTAAGCTTCTTTACGCGGCAATTAAATTTCCCACCTGCTTTTATTTATTCTCAAAAACAATTTCCTTTACCCGGAGAAACATTTTTTTAAGTGGTCTGTTTCCGCAGAGGTATATCTGAGTTTTGGAGAACGTTCGACTTAAAAAGATCAAACAGGAAAACGGGAAAAAGAAAGCTATGGCATCCGTTAAAAAAATAAAACGACACAGGAGCAATTTCTTTCTCGGATGAGAACTCTTTATGCCTCTACAGAGAATCTAGATTAAAAAATGCATCTGAAGGAATCCGACACAGAGCAGTCTAGGGATTTATTCTTTTACATGACTAAAATGAATAAGTAAAAGGTTAAGAACCGCAGCACTTAATCATAAATCTGGAAGTAGCTGCAGGAATTGTGTAGTTTGTCATTGTATCTATAGTGGCCACCGCGTTTATAGAAACGTTTCGAAGGATCGTTATACAGAATAACAGCACATCACAAGAAAAAGTCTGTTTGCGTCGAGTATGGCATATTCAGGTCGGAGTGAAGTTTTTAAAATTTTGCTTTATATCTTTGTCTCACCACCACTTGTTGTATAAAACTAACTGCGCGTAGATTGCGGAAGATGCCTTTTTGGGGAGTGACCCATGCCGTAACCCATTACTGTCCCTGTATGTATCACCAAAGATTATCTATTGCACATTTTCTGCCGTTGTTAGTGAGTTCAGGTTGAAAAAATCTCAATTTGTTAACACTGTGCTAAGGTGGGTGTGTCCTGGAGCCAGACACAATAACCGTAGCTAGAAAATAGAGCTCTGCACAGTGTTGACCAGCAATTTCGTGGGTGTAAAATTGTCTATATTGGCTTGATATTGTGTATTTGGTAAGTTTGATAAAATTTGCTTTGTATGTATAATTGTATGTTTTAGTATGTAAGGATGTAAGTATTTATATGTAGTCTATGTATGTCTGCCACTGTGCTGTATCCAAATTTTCCCAAGAAGATCAATAACGTGGAAGTTCCTTCCTTTTTTCTTTCTTTCTTTCTTTCTTTCTCTATATCCCAATATATCTACTGTTCACGAGCTGTATTCCCGCGTTTCACAGCTTGCCTGTGGTCTGTTTCAGGGTCACAACAGCGTGCGTGCGGGGATGTCACACCCAAGCCTCTTTGTTGTTCTTGTCGGAGGAAAGTAACATGTAAATAAGGAAAAAAAAGAACCTGGGGGGGGGGGGACTTGTAGTTCTGGAGGTTGTTTTGAGACAAAAGAGCCGATAGGAGAGAGAGAGAGAGAGAGAGAGAGAGAGAGAGAGAGAGAGAGAGAGAGAGAGAGAGAGAGAGAGAGAGAGAGAGAGAGAGAGAGAGAGAGAGAGAGAGAGTATGGGGTAGAAGGACTGACCAAAAGTCAAGAGAATGAAATTTGCAAATCAACTCGTATAAGAGAGAAAAAAATAGATGGAGAAGGAGGAAGAGAGATATGAGACACAGACAGGGGGTAGGAGGTGAGAGAGAGAGAGAGAGAGAGAGAGAGAGAGAGAGAGAGAGAGAGAGAGAGAGAGAGAGAGAGAGAGAGAGAGGGGGGGGGGTGAGGGGGTGAGTGAGAGAAGGGGTTGAAATGGGGAGAGGAGGGGTGGAGGGAGGAAGTGCGAATGATGGAGAGAAAAATACTTTTAGAGTCAAATCAGATTGATATTCATAAAATGGAAATTGGATATAATCTTTTAACAGAAGCAAAACAGCAAGGCAGATGGCAAATCAAACATCTTTAGAGAATCTGGAATAGAACCTTGAATGTTCTGACTCATCGCAGGTAAAACGCATACACTTATTCGAAGAAAATCACTTGCCTCTTAATTTATACTTTTCCTCAAAGGTTCTCTCCAAACAGAGTATTGACAGGAAATGTTTCAGTGCACCACAAATCCATTAAATATCTGCCGAAACCGTTCCTCATTGCTTTGTTTTATTATTATTATTAACGTATATGATCTATGTTGAATGTTATTCTCTTTATCAACTGGCGCACAAACAAGCAAAGAAAAAAACAAACAAAACAACAACAACAACAACAACAACAACAACAAACTGAAACGAGTTCCGTGTCCTTTTTGACTCTGAAAAATCTCGTTTATGAACGATCAAAAGAAAGATTTGAACCGTGGCCGTCGTATGTTGAGGCGGGCGTGCTAACACTCTTCTTGATTCACAACGTCGACGGCCGCTGTTACCCTTTTTTAAGGAAACTGTTTCAACAAACAGGTGGAGGCGTCCCCTTCAAGGCATTTTCCTACAAGGGTCTTAGGCGTCCGGAATAGCTTCTGAACTGTGCACGCAGACTATGTGAGTTCTATACCAAATTGGGAAGATATCTCATCTCTCTTTGTTGGGATGCTCCAACACCACCTTAGAGGTCCCGAAGGGTAGGATCCGAGTTCACGCCTCCTAAAAGATTTGAATTGAGATGACTGTGGTATAAAATATTTACTACAAAACCTTCTATACTTTTCGATAATTTTGTGTGTGTGTTTCTCTCTCCTCAACCTCCTCTCCTTGACGCACTTGTTTTTTGTTAAGATGGATTCATACTGGACTACGGTGAAGTCAACATCGTATTGATCTCCAAATGAGGCGTTATGAAACTTTTGAACTGTTAAGAAAACGTTTTCACCTTTCTCTAGCCTTTTGCCCCGATCCTATCGGAGATATACCAAAAGCAGTGTAAAAACTCACATCGTATCCATACCAAGCAGTGTAGGCGAATGGTGAAAAGTAGACGCACAATATATACGATTTAAAAAACAACAGCCAACCAAACAAACGAGAAATCACGCATAAATCCCACGGGTCGAGTGTGCCAGTATCGCCAGTATTCTAATTCTGTGGCAACATACAGGAGACGTTTGACGAGCGCGTTTCAGAGTCAGTGTCGTCAGTGCAAAGTCTTTGGTGGTGGTTGAGGTGAGGGGACAGGGTGCTGGGTTGCCCATCTGGGTTACTCTGGCCTATGCCCTTTAAACGCTATTTTTTAAAATCCAAAAGTGATAGTGAGGCTCCATTCGGGTGCCGGTACACATCAAATCCTTGAAAAATAAAAATCCTTAGGTCTCTGACTCAGCAACTATCTGCAGTCTGGTAGTTAGCCGCTGGGTTTAGTTGCGAGAGTACAAGTGATCGAACTATTTTTCTTTTTTGTTTTTGTTTTCAGGAACTACAAAATTGTCGTATTGATACTCTCTTTTTTCTGCACTCATTGTAAGCTGAATGACCTGAGTATTTAAAAATTGTAAGCAAACTGCATATAACAGAATGAGCGAGGGAGATTTAAAAAAATAGGTCATTAACTTGATATGGCAAAACTGGCACACTCAACCCTAGCTTATGATAAGTCACAGCACTCAGAAGAAAAACAATCACAAATCACAGTTCAACAGTACTCGCCAACATGTTTCGTTTATTAAAATATGCGCAAACTGATTAAATAGAAGCGATAAGTTTGATGCCAAGCATTGCTAGATCTATAATATTTGAAGACTTCGTTACACATTTTGATTAAGCGTTAAGTACTCTGTAATAGAGAAAATATAGCAACCAGCGTACATACGAGTACAGACAAACTAAACAGAAAAACATACCTGGAAATACTATTTGAAGAGATATCAAAATAGCGTGAAACAGAATTAAGTAAGAGGTCATAGTCATCATTTTTTAGGCCAGAATCCCGGAAACGATTTGACAAACGTGGATAGACAGCCGTGAAAATTCTACACTTTAGCCTGTCTGTCGTTGCGTAATTCACCGTCTTGTGGGGGACTGTTGGGTCCCTACCTAGACGGTCAGACGGCTAGTATAAGAACGTATAAGTCCCTACAGGTCTGACTGGTGTGCTCCAACTTCTTTTGTTTAGTTTTACAGTTACAGAGACTGTCAGTGGGTGGTTGGCTGGTGCTCTGGCGTGGTTGCACCTGTTTTCGCTACTAAACATTCTATCGTCCGTATCTTTCCTCCTACGATTTAAAAGTTTGTTTCTCTTTGTTATACATCAAAACTTCTGTAGTTATATGACATCAATGTGTTGCTAGTGCCGTTAAACTCTTACTAAAACTTAAAAGAGTGTCAGCTTTTGGAAAATCTCCACAAAAATGAGTCCGTTGTCGCACAATCTGGCTGGGAACAGCAACCCAACAATAATAATAGCCTATGTAAAAACAGATTATAAATTAATCAATAGTCGCTTCCTCCGTCATTCTCTATTTAGTCGATCAATACACAACAACGCTCTGAATGTAACAATCTAATTATACATTTGTTTATAAATAAATATACAAATACATAACAGATTAATCCAGTTTTATATCATCACGTTCATAAGATAATTGCCTAAGTCATTTTTGCCAGTTCGGTGTTTTTGGTTCTGAAATGAAGAGCATAGCCAGCTTGGTAGTATAGCTGTTCACTAGGACAAAAGAATGATCCAAATATAAAATCAATTGAGTGTACACACATTCAAGCCTTTCAAAGAGTCAATTGTTCGAAAGAAACCGTTTTTCCTCATTTCCCAAAATGGCTGAAATGATATAGGCATGTATCTTCTGAGCGTGAGTCCAACCAAAGTGGTTTTTGTGCCTAAAGACGAATTGTTATGTATTGTTGTTATCTGGTTAAAAATAAAACTATACAGTATTCAGAGGGAGAGTTAGTTTATAATTAGATAAACCCTGAACGTTGAAAATGTACAAATCACAGACAGGTCACATTTCAACCAGATCACGATCGATTTCGATGAGTATGAAACAATGATTGGTTCAAATAATGTTAGAGGAATCGTTTGCAACTGCTTACACTTATACCTGTGCCAACGTAATCATTAAAAACTACGATCTCGCAAAGACGAGTGAAATAGTGACATGGTCCTAACAAGTATAAACCACACACCCTGTAAAATTGTTTATTGTATGTGTTTTAGTCCCAATCGACACTATTTAGATTATTTAGGAGGTAGATTTAGCTGCTTTGACAATGCCTGTCAGCTCCAACGTGGGCTGTGAGGAATACAACGTCCCAGCTGACAGAGGGAGATACTTTATTTAGAGAAATAACATCTGCACACATGGGAATGACATGAGTATAGCAGTATGTGCAATGGCAGCTCGCGTCCGTGAAGGATGGAGGGTCATAACACCCCAACCTCTGAGTCAGAAACGACACATCCAGGTATTGCAGGTATAGGAATGGAACTTAAGTTTTCTGCGTGCGAGGGCGAAATGCCTAACTGATACACCACTGACACCAATTCATAACCTAATGTTGTGAACGTAAAGGCTCGGAAATCGGAAGGTATTTAAAAGAATTATGATAATACTAGAACTCTAACCCAAACCCTAACGCTAACCCTATCCCTAACACTAATCCCAACCCTAACTCTGTACGGCCTAAACTAAAAAAAAAAGAAGCTCTGTACCCTAACATAAACCCCAACTCTAACTCAAACCCTAACCCAAACTTTAACTCTGTAACCTGAAAATAAAGCACTGAACCCTAACCCAAACCATAACCCTGATCCAAACCCTAACTATGTAACCCAAAAATAAAGGTCTCTGCGTTGTCGTCAAGGCGGCATGATCATGTAGGCTCTCCGCCGTGAGATACCTATAATGTCAATCAGCACACGGTAAAAGTGTAACAATGGGAAATGAATTAATTTCATACCGTAATTGTCCCGACGAAATTAGACGTAGTTGACACCCAACTAAATTTACATAAATGAAAAGTTAAAGCATATGAAAAAGCATTAAAAAACCCCAAAACAACTGGCGATAGCAGTGTGAAGAAAGATCATTTGGCATAGACTTAGAACTATGCCCAACAGACGTTCTTAGAAACATGCGTTCTTGGGCACAGATAATACCTAGTGGATATTAAAGAAATACTTAGAACCATTGGCACTGTATAACAGCAGACACTAATAATTGCATTGGTTTCCGCATTTTAATGTGTGTGTGTGTGTGTGTGTGTGTGTGTGTGTGTGTGTGTGTGTGTGTGTGTGTTGGTGTGCGCGTGTGCATTTGTTTGTTTGTGTTTGAGTGGAATGTTTTCTCCCTGTGGGTGAAAGCACCCTTGGTTCAGACCCGTCAGCATGACATGGGGGGTCCAACATAAGCCTTATTTTACGACTATAACAATAACATAGATAGTTTCGATGGCTTCGAGGCAGATGGAATGACAGAGTCAAAGAGACCCTCTAACTGAACAACATGACAATCTACAGGCCAATAAACCTAACCCACGTTCAACAAAAATTGCATCTCCCCTCAACACCTTGTGGTTCAAGAGAGCAGAAAAAAGTAAAGGTTAAAAAAGTTAACATAAACTGAACTCCTGATGATCATCCTATGAAGTTATAATGTTGTTTTCTGATGATAATTGTCTGCTGTATCCCTGTACTGATCGCAGTTCGAAATAGCGTTTGTCATGTGGCCTTTAGTTTCTAAATAATAAAAGAATATATCATTACGTTCCTGTTAAAGACTAAAATCTTTCCAAACTTCCAGAAAACTTCAAATCCCCCCTCCCCCCACCCCTTAAACTCAGTTCGAAAACTACATTTATGAACCGTTTGACTAGAGAACAGCTGAGCATAATGATTGTCATGCGAACTGTGTATACATATTCTCTGTTTTTTTAACGAATATTCTAAAAAGTACTGCCCGGCAGCAGGCGTCCATTATTTTGCTTGCAGACTCAGTCTTGCGCTCCCTGATCTATTAGGATTTTCAGATTATCCCCTTGGTGGTGCTTTGTAGCGCTTTAACGTGCGCCATGATATATTTTATTTTGGATTGTTTTGTGTGCAATCGCAAAGCTCTTTGGTACAAGATTCTTCTTCTTCTTCTTCTTCTTCTTCTTCGTCTTCTTCTTCTTCTTCTTCTTCTTCTTCTTCTTCTTCTTCTTCTTCTTCTTCTTGTATATCAATATTATCATTAGTGTTTTTATAATCGCTTTGATAACTTTCTTGGTAAACCTCCGTATCCCATCAGCTAAGATCAGAACATTTGTATAAAGGAAGCATATTACAATAAAATATATTATAGTTTCTTTTGAAAGACAGCATGTAAATTCATTCATCTGTTCATCTATGATCTCCAATTGACAGAGCAGCTATTTAAAAAGGCAAGAACAACATCCAGATATAAAATAAATTAGGCCTAATCAAGGATAAGTTGTACCCCCATCGGCGGCATTTTCAATGCCATTGACTGGACTCTTCTCAGAAAAAGTCCTATAAGACCCTCCTTCCCCTCCTGCCTTTATTCCATCTTCATTTACGTCATTTTCATCCTCGTCAGGCCGTTCAAAGGTGGACGGGTCTTGGTAATTGTAGTAGTGCGCAACGATGCAAAAAACGAAAAAGTTGAGCATCATGAGACCTCCCAGAAGGAAGAGCAAGTTCTCCATTTTGGTGTCGTTGATTTCATCTCCCCACCATGGGTCTGAAGAGAAAAGAAAGGATAGGTGGCAGAGGGTCAACATCAACCCAGACGGCTCCCAAACGAAGATGAATTATTTATTGAAAATCCAAAATTTGGCGAAGTTAGAGTTAGGTGCCACAGGTGGAGTTTTGTCCTGTATATGACGTGAGTGATATTGATGAAATGCAAATAATCAGCTCAGATCCGCACTATGTTTGACAAAGAGAAAACGTGAGAGTAGAGAGTTGCAACAATAAGCAAGCTATACTTCCGACATACAGATCGTTACATGATGTTGCTGTTTTTTCTGTCAACCGTATTCTGTCAGCAGATTTCCAAATTGCTCATAATAAAGTTAGTGATTATTTCATCGCACCATTTAAGACAGAAAAAAAGATACACAATATTTAACACCATTATGTGTCAGAGTCTACTCGGACTGCCCCCCCCGCCCCTTTCCGCTCACCAATGTCTGAAACCCAAACACTGAAACTATCAAACATTAATTAATTTATTAATAACTATGCTCAGGTGTATCAGCTTGAACTTTGATAAATTGTCTGTCTTTTTCTATCCTTTTACTTTGGACTCCCACCCCTGTGGCAAGTGCCTGTGATAGAGTTAAAATGATATGGCATATTCTATTCAGCAAAGCGTGCAAATTGTACCTCACAAAAATTCGCGTCATTTACCACCCTTTCCTTTTAACCAAAATAAAGAGACAACAATCTCAAACAAAACAAAAGCAAGCAGCAACAACAAGGGAAAAGAACTAACGAGTGAACAAAAAAAACAAAACAACAACAACAAAAAACAACAACTAACGAAATGGTGTTGCAAAACAACGGGGGGAAAAACCTAAAGAAAGCACAAATTACATTTGAAAAAGCAGCCCAAATGGAACCGATTAAAAAACAACAACCCAACTACTCCGTCCCTGAAAATATTGTTGAATGAACAACAACAGCAACAACAACAACAACAACAACAACAACAGCAACAACAACAACAACAACAACAACAACAGCAACAACAACAACAACAAGATTAATAAAATGAAAAGAAACTTATTACTTTAGAGCTTCGGTCGACTCCCGTATTCAACAAAGCAATCAGTAGCGGGAGATAACTTACGTAGTTCTAAAACACAAAAAGTAAAACTGGATTTACCGTCCTTCGTAGCCTCCTTCACAATGATGAGGATGATGGAGGATATCCAGTTGCCCAAACCCGAGGCAGCGAGGAAGAGTCCCGTAAGTAGACCTTGCATGGCGATTGGGGCTTGGTTGTAAGCGAACTCCAGAGCTGTTAGAGAATTATTTTTTTTTAAAAGGCGGGGGGTGTTTGAAGAGGCGGAAAAACAAAGGGGGG